AAAAATGACAATTGATGGTGTATTTTTTGTCCTCTTTTTACTAATTATATTTGCATAAGAAGAAAGTAGGCGACCATATGATTTACAGTTTTTATTTTATCATTTCTTCTATGTAATTCCTTGTTCTTAGCTATAATAGCTTTAAATAGTGCATATAATATAACTTTTATTTAACTAAAAATATGTTAAACTATGTAAAATAATGTAATTATAAAAAAATATCATTAATAATACAAAATGTACCTCATATTGACATTAGAAAAAAACTCTACAAAAACACTCTGTCACAAGAATTTTTCTAATACCTAATATACATTTTTAGGGGGAGAAGGGATTGTTAGTAATGGGGATTAGTAGCCCAATTGCTAGCAATATACCCTGTCAGGTCGACATCCTCGTGGAAACCAACGTGACTGATTTATTGTTAGATTCATCACGATGGGTTAACTGACTTACTTCATTCTTACCTATCATCCCTCACTGGTGCCCCGCCAGCGTATACCTATATATATGTATAAACTCTTAAACACCTCCAAAGCCTAACTACAATCCGCTTGCCAAGCGTGGCAACATCATAAATTATCAATCATTTACATTATATGAACCGTTATCCATCCACCGCTGGACATAGGCTTTCCCCATAGACTGTCATAAGAAACGGTCCTGAGCCACCTGCATCCACTGACTTCCTGCAATTCATTTGAGGTCGTCACCCCATCTAGTTGGGGAGTCGTCCAAGACTGCGTTTGCCTGTACGAGGTCGCCGCTCAAGAACCTTTCTTCCCTATCGGTTATCGGTTCTTCGAGAAATGAATCTTAATACTTAGTTAAGTATATGAAATTAAACTTCATAATTACTGGGTAAGTATTTAAATAGAATTATTAAGAGTGTCATTATGTGTGCGTGAAAGAATGCAACTTCCTTGGGGCTACAGTTTTGACACGATATGACAACGCTGACCTCATAGTGGTGAAATTATAATGCAAAAACAGATGTAATTATCTAATGTGGCATTGACAAGGTCAAAAGTATAATTATATACATACCTATATGATAGTTATTGTTCGACAGTTTTAGATACATAATTAATGATTGTATGTTAAACTAAGTGTATGGAAAGTTGATTTTTTTTATGTAACTTAGAATGGCAAACAAGCCAACAAGCTAACATCTTTATCGTCAAAAACGATAACATATAATTATACCATGAGCATTATGGTGATTATTATGGTGCTGTAAGTACATGTGTATAAGAGATGGATACAATATTTCACTAGGTTTACCATCAACTATAAAAAAAATACTCTAATTATTTATAGGATTACCAACATAAGATACAGCTAAACATTTCAATACAATACACTGACAGATTAGATCTAACTGTTCTTGCATTTATAGGCAACCACAGCATATTTTAATATTTAGCAAAAACAAGGCGTATTTGATAAACATTAAAATGGAATTAAATTAATAAATGTTGTAATCAAACAAAATTATCGATATTTCTAGATCAGTCACGTTTACTTACTAAATTACTCGTCACTCGACAAAATTTTTTTTTTATTATTTTTTACTTTATTTTATTCAAAAAAGCACAGCTCTTAAAAAACAACTTGCATGCTAAGTCTCTTATGAATACAGCTAATAACTGATTTTATTTATACAAATAAAAATTATAATTCCAAAGCGAGGTGTGCAAGTTATTTTTTTTTGTTGGGTGAAAATGGTATGGTAACCCCGCCTGCGCTAACGGGATACGTTGGCGGAGCATCGGTGAAGGGTGATAGGTGAGAATGAAAACAGGCCAGTTAGCCCATCATGGTGAATTCATCAGGAATTAACCATGATAGTTTCCAGGGGGAACCGCGAGGAGGCGACCTGGTTGGGTATATTGCTAGCAATGGGATTCTCAGTCTCCATTACTAACAATCCCTTTCCCCCCTGCAAATTAGAGTGGGTGTATGCAAGTAATATAAGTAGATGTATGAAAGGAACCATACTCGTATATAATAATGAATGTCCATAAAGTTAGGTTAATTGATATATAAAACGTTATAATAACCTCTTGTATTAGATATCATACCGTCTTCCATATTCTGCAGACCGGAACGTATCTAATTAATACACGCATTGTGGCTTTGCAACAGACATACATGACGGGCATACCTACATGGATAACGCATGGGGGTATCATGGGCGAAAGAGTTTTTTTTTATACAACTTAGAATGGCAAACAAGCTGACGGTCCACCTGATGGAAAGAAACAACCGTCGTCTAGACATGAGCAGTACCATGGACATAACAGAGTATACTGTTTCGCAAATGATACCCCCCATGCGTTGCCATTCCTGAGGACTGAGGTGTTATTCCTCTGTACCCAGCAAATTCACGCCATATCCCACCCTTCAAACCGAAACACAGCCATGCAAACACAACTGCTTCACGGTTGAAACACGAATGGTACAGAGTTACCCAAGCAATCGACTTTTGTACAAAGTCTCCCTCTGGTAAAGTATACTCTGTTGTCCACGGTACTGCTCGTGTCTATAGGCGACGGTTACCACTTTCCATCAGGTGGGCCGTCAGCCTGTTTGCCATTCTAAGTTGTATAAAAAAAAACATAATATAAGTAGGTGATTATGTCCCAAATGTGATTTCCTGTATGTTAATAAAGGGACATAAAAGACAATATTTTATTCACTTCTCGGATGTCATGTCGTGTCATAGTTAATCTGTGATAGATGGTAAACATGAATAATTAATTATATTATACATACAAAAAAAAAAATCAGAATAGATCACGGTGGGATTACGAGTATATTTAATTGACAAAGTACTTTTGGTTAACGAATCATGACATTCTAAATTTTCAAGTCACGTTTTTGTTGAACGAAGCTATATCCTGGTTTTTTTTTTTTTGGTTTTGTTAAATGTTGTGTTTTTTTAATGGGTGATAATGGTATGGTAACTCCGTCTGCGCTATCGGTGTACGCTGGCGGGGCACCAGTGATAGATGACTGATGAGGATGAAAGCAGGTCAGCTAGCCCGTCTTGACGAATTCAACTAGAATTGACCACGATGGTTTCTAGGGGGAAATACGTGGCGGTCGACCTGACAAGGTATATTGCTAGGAATGAGGCTATTTGACCCCATTACTAACAATCCCTTTCCCTCCTGCCTGCTGTACACGGCTCAATTAATTAATTGTAAATATATAGATACCATTGCTGTGTGGTCCCAGCATAGAATGGGGTAGTCCTCGTAAGAGGCGACTAAGTAAATGGTCAAGGGATGACAGTAGCGTCTTTCTTAAAATATTATATCACTAAAGCCTACGGTCGCTAACCCGCCTGCCAAATGTGGCAACTACTAGCAAAAATGGGTGAGTGCTATGTTCAGCAATGGACAATAGACGGCTAATATGATGATGATGATGATGATGATGATGATGATGATATTAACTACGGTGACATTACAGTCCGTTACAACGATTTAACGAAAAGTTAACTAAGTAATAATTGCAGAAACTTACGAAAATCTAGAAATGAGATTAGTAATTAACGGTTTTGTAATGAGAAATATAAACCATTCATTCATTCATTGTTGGACATCAGCAAACTGTCGTATGGCCGGACCAATTAATCATTTGCTTACGTTTTCATATATTTATTTATTATTTCATTGAACCTCAGAGATATAGCTGTGATCAGTGTGCAGTGATCGTATGTATTATTACGGTTCATAATAATACTCTGTATTCGTGACTAAATTAAAGTGTTGATATACCTCCCCATTACATTATATTTATTTATATTTTTTAATAATTTGAATACAATTTCCATTATTTATATTATATTATTATTCATATTGTTAATATCTTTACTCATTTAATAATTTAATTATATTTTAATGTTTGTCAAACACAGGGCATGCTGTGGTTGCCTATAAATGTAAGAACAGTGAGATCTGATCTGCCAGTGTATTGTATTAAAATTTAGCTTTATTGTAGCTGTATTTTATATATATATATATATATATATATATATATATATATATATATATATATATATATATATATATATATATATATATATATATATATATATTATATATATATACGATACGATATATATATACGACAACGACGATTAGTTTAACAACTTGTTAGCAAGGGAGGACTTATCTCTGAAAGAGATCTCTTCCAGTCAACCCAGTGTAGTTAGAGAGAAAATAATTTAATTTGGGTAATCCAGTGCAAGAAAGGCACCGGTGAAAATACTCGTAATTTATATTTATTAGCATGCAACATGATACAATTTAGTTATTATAATATAATAAGTACATAAGATATGTGATACTCCGTAGAGGCACCGTATAAAGAGACAGAACCATCCACTTTTAATGACAGGTAAAACCATATATACTCTCATGCTTTATTTTATGGTACACTCTCACAATATGGTAGAGAATATTCGTAGCAAATTAAAAAAAGGGCGAGTACAAACGATCATGAAAAGGTCGTAGTGTTACAGGCTTTTCTGCCTAAATTAGTCCCTCTTTCAGTAATAATAATAACCATTCAGGAGTTACACATTAGTCCTAAGGGTAACACAGTGGCATGGGCGTCACAGTGTATTCTGTATAGTACTGTTGTTATAGGTGACAGTATTACTTTACAGGTACGCCGTCAATTTGTTTGTTATTTCGAATTGAAAAATAAAATCCTCTAAATTATATATATATATATATATATATATATATATATATATATATATATATATATATATATATATATATATATAAATATTTATCTAATTTCTTTTCGTTTACTTCTATGCTGATATTTTTTCTATACCCCGTAAGAGAACAGGCATGAATATGCGCAAAAATATATTATTCATCATATTTATAATAATAAACAACATAAATAAAATAGTAAAAATTTATATCATAAGCATAACACACTTTTATACGTAAATATTATAAAATAATACTCACCACTAAGAAAAACATTTCAATATTTTATATAATTAATTAAAATCAAAATTAAAAAAAAAAATCACAAATTCCACGCACTATTAAATCACTTATTTAATAGGGATGTACGCATAGTTTTTCTCTAATCGATGTTACGATATCGATGTACGTATCCAAGTTGGACGCTGTACGCGGGCACACAACGCGACGGAATACTATGGAGTGGTCGGATAAAATTTGTGCGTGCGCGCAGAACGCGTTGCCAACATTATTGATAGAGAGTGTCGATCGGAAGTCCTGTTGATTACGTGGATAATTATAAAACTATCGGATATGTAATTGACACGATGCTAATAATGTGTAAGTAGGTAGGTATGGTATCTGTTTTATGATATCTAAGTAAGAGGTAGCTAAGGGAGGGCGAGGGATGGGCAGCAGCATCCCTCTTAAAACATCTCTAAAAGCCTAACTGCAGTTGCCAACCCGTCTGCCAAGCATGGTAACCACTGGCAAAATTTTCTTATGGGGAAGGCTTATGTCCAGCAATGAACAGTTAACGGCTGAAATAATAAATAAAAAGTGAGTTGCTATGGTAACCATAGGTGTCACTTTTTATTCCATAAAGCAATTTTACCTGCTATCGGTTTATGCTGGTCGAGTATCAGTGAATATACAAGTAAGGGACAATAGAATCAGATTAGTTGGCACATCGTGATGTATTCACCAAGAATTAACCACGACGATCTCCAGAGTGAGCCGCGTGGTGGTCGATTAGTTACTGTATATTTCTAGCAAGTACCTACAATTTTGGTATGTTTTTTGTCTATAAATCATAAGGAGAATTGAAGATTCAAAATCATAAGAAACTAAATAATATATTTTTTGAAATTATTTTGTTTACTAAAATTAATTATTTATTATTAATTATTTTGTTTATTAAAATTAATAATTTTATAATAATTCTGAAAATTTATTGATAAAATTGAAATAGATAAGAAAACCGTAGCTAAAATCTTAGACCCAGTGTATCGCTGTAGTTAAAAACACTAATCTGACAAGTGCAATAGAATATTTATTGTGACCATACCAGTGGTAACAAGAATTCAGTTAGAGGTATTAAAAAGTGGCCATTAAGGCTGCACACACGACGGAAGCTTAAAAATGGAGTAACTTCTTCCATTTTCCCAACATTTCCCTTCACTACTCTGCTCCTATTGACCGTAGCGTGATGAAAAGTATACTATAACCTGCCCAGGAGTTTGAAGAATAATTGTACCAAGTTTCGTTAAAATCCGTCGAGTAGTTTCTGTTTCTATAACGAAAATACAGACAGACAGACAAAAATTTTACTGATTGCATTTTTGGCATCAGTATCGATCACTAATCACCCCCTGATAGTTATTTTGGAAATGTATTTCATGTACAGAATTGACCTCTCTACAGATATATTATAAGTATAGATAATAATATTTATTAGAAAGGTGATTTTAACTTTTTAAAATTATCAGGTTTTCAAAAATCTTTTTCTAATATTTTGAAATACATTTACAATACTTAACTTTTGAATTGTAATTTACAATTACAATTCAAACTGCACTAGTTCCGGCTGTCTATGAATATTTTTAATTAGTTATTAGTTATTTAATCGACGTTTCTTTAGAATAGTCTTTGTAAAGTTTCATTATTTCGATGTTACGTACTATTTTAGCTTATTAAGACCACATTGTGTTTCAAGTCATAAATCGAGTATCAATTTGAACGTCATCCGATAAATCGATACCTCTCGAGAGCGGCGGAGAATCGAGGGCAAGCCCTATTGTCGTGACAGCTTGTTGCAATATGCACAATTTTCATAATGATAACGCCAAGCGTGAATGGATAATGAGAGCGTAATAATTCATTGTTTCATATCTTCTTGTGTATGGTTGTTGGCAGGCTTTCCTTTTATAGTTTTATTAGCTTTCAGCCGCGGCTTTGTCTGCGTGATCGTGATATACTGAGAGACTGGAATATAAAGATTATTGTAAATCTTTATTGTACATAATTCATACGGAATACATCAAAAAATTTAATATACAATGGTGGACGTGGCCCATAAAGGGATCTCTTACAGTCAACCTTTATCATTACCAGAGGGAGACTGTACAAAAGTCAATTGCTTGGGTACCTCTGTCCCATTCGTGTTTCAACCGTGAAGCAGTTGTGTTTGCATGGCTGCGTTTCGGCTTGAAGGGTGGGATATGGCGTGAATTTACTGGGTACGGAAGAATAACACCTGAGTCCTCAGGAGTGGCAACGCATGGGGGGTATCATGGGCGAAACAGTATACTCTATTATGTCCATGGTACTGCTCATGTCTATAGGCGACGGTTACCACTTTCCATCAGGTGGGCCGTCAGCTTGTTTGCCATTCTAAGTTGTATAAAAAAAAACCTTTAAGAAGCTGAAAGGAAACTGTGTTTGTGTTGTGTTTATGTTTTATCTACTACTCTGTATAACAAGTTAAAACAACAGAGATAGCATATCTCTACGACGGAACCCTAAATATCTATATTTATAAAACAATTGTTTCTTGACATCGCCTGTAATTATAAACTGAACATGCTTATGATCCCGTCATGCTGTAACCATGACCGATCAACCTTCAAATGTCCGCTCTTAATGATTGACTAATATGGAGTCTAACTATCATTTGATAGCTATGTAGGTCCGGTACGTCCACCTACGCACCGACACACTGACTGTTAAAAAAAAAAACTAATTAAAAACCTCGTGTTATACCATAGTGCGATAAATAGGTCAGTAAATTTATAATAAAATTAATAAAACCTAAATTTGTAAATATTATAGTATTTTTTTTTATGGGTTAAAATGAAATGGTAACCCCGCCCGCGCTATCGGTATACACCGACGAGGCACCAGTGGAAGGTGATAGGTGAGGATGAATGCAGGTTAGTTGTGTCACCATGATGAATTCGACAAGAATAAAACATGATGGTTTCCAAGGAGGGGACCACGTAGAAGTTGACCTGAGAGGATATATTGCTTGCAATGGGACTGATAGTCCGCATTACTGGCAATCCCTTTTCCCCCTAGTCGTGGGGTCCCGGCATTGAATGAATCACCCTCACTGGTGCTCCGTCAGTGTAAACCGATAGCGCAGGCGGGATGACCAATTCATTATCATACATTAAAAAAAACTACACGGCCAATAGTTATAATAAAAGTGAATTAATAAGAATAGATAGCTATGGAACGACATCTGGTTCAAGTTAACCTGTTAAGGTATGTAACTTTACCATGTATACAATTTGTTATATCACTGTTATTAACCAACATAACTAGTTAGTTATTAAAACACATTATTACTTGCAAATTATTAATTTCATCCCAACCATCTGGACGAGTGGCAGTCTCCCATCGTGCGTTTTTCAAGGCACTTTCTTCCACGCGCAAACACTCTTTGGAATTAACTTCCAGCAGCAGTATTTCCGAACCGATACGACAACATAATCAAGAAAAGAGCATATTCCTTTTTAAAAGACCGGCAGCACATCTGCAATGCCGTAGGTGTTGTGGGTGATCATGGGCGGCGGTAGTCACTTACCATCAGGTGAGCCGCATGCTCGTTTGCCCCCTGTGTTGTAAAAAATAATTATATAACAGTTGAAATTGCTGTGGTGTCGCGAGATCGATCCCCGTCTAAGAAATACAAGCTGACTCTCTAACAGGTACTCGTTAACACGAGTACCTGTTAGAGAGTCAGCTCTAGAGAGTCAGCTCTCTCTGTTAGAGAGCAGCGTAGTATTAACATACTACGGATGTGGCGCCCTCTGATGCCAAAAGTTTGTCCATCACCTTCTTTGTTTACCATATAACAAAAAAAATAGCAATAGAGGAACACCAGTGAAGGATTATAAGTGAGAATGAAAAGGCAGGCCAGTTAGCCTATTGTGATCAATACATCTGGAATTGAGCAAGATAGTTTCCAGGGGAGATCACGTGGAGGTCAACCTGACAGGGTATATTGGGCATGGGACTAATAATCCACAATACTAACGATCTCTTCTCCCCAGTACTAAGGCGTTATACCTCGGTACCCTGTAAATTCACTGCCATATCTCACCCTTTAAACCGAAAAACAGCCATGCAAACAACTGCTTCACGGTAGAAACACGAATGGGACAGAGAGGTATTCTTGTAGAGGAATTTTGTACAGTCTCTATCTGTTTTTTTTTTTTTAATGGGTGAAAATGGCATGGCGACCCCGCCTGCGCTATCAGTAGACGCTGGCGGGGCACCAGTGAGGGATGATAGGTGAGAATGAAAAAGCAGGTCAGTTAGCCCACTGTGACGAATTTAAGTTACGATAGTTTCCAGGGGGAACCGCGCGGAGGTCGACCTGATAGGGTATATTGATAGCAATGGGGACTACCCTCCCCATTACTACCAATCCCTTCCCCCCCGTCTCTATTTAGTTACAAAGAGATTGGAAAATACATTACCAATTCGTGGTGTTTGACATTTTTATATAAAAAATATGCTAATAGTCAGCAGGTACTTACTTCGTGTAATTGTTGTAGTTCCGCCAAGCTAATTTTAGACAGCTTGCGGTTACTAAGCGGTAGCTAGCTATATACTTTAGCAGGTACACAGAAACCAAGGTCAACCAGCGGTAGGGATTGTTAGGACACTATGATTTGAGACATGTTATTATTACCATACCATTTTATATTATGCATTACCAGAGGGAGGCTTTGTAGAAAAGTCGCTTGCTTAGATACCTCTGTCTCACTCGTGTTTCTACTGTGAAGCAGTTGTGTTTGCATGGCTGTGTTTCGGTTTGAAGGGTGGGATTTGGCAGCGCATTTACAGGGTACAGAGAAATTACACTTGAGTCCTCAAGAATGGCAACGCATGGGGGGTATAATGGGCGGAACAGTATACTCTGTTATGTCCATGGTACTGCTCATGTCTATAGGCGACGGTTACCACTTTCCATCAGGTGGGCCGTCAGCTTGTTTGCCATTCTAAGTTGCATAAGTTGCATAGCATGTCGTCACAAAAATAAATGACGTTTAAAGAATTCCTACAACACAATGCCCCCAAATTCCTTGTTCACGAGCTGAAATATCTTATGTAAAAAGCAAATAATCATTTATTAGTATCATCATCTTCACCATATCAGCTGTTATCCATCCACTGCTAGAATATAGGC